AAGTGACTGAATCTCCGAAAGTAGCCGTTTTTGCTGACTTTGGGCGGCCACTGCGTTCAATCTAGCTGCGGTCAAAGGCCTCCGTCAACGATCTACTATTCTTAGGACCCTTCTCTTTCATGCACCGCCTCGCGCAGTGCAGTGCCCTCTCGTCTGAGCGGAGCGCCAAGCAGGGCTTTGTTCGGCTTGGCAGTGTACTTGGCAGTACATGGCTCGGCGGCGCCTGGCGGCGCTTGGCGGCGTTTGGTGGCGCTTGCGAAAATGGCGGCCCGGGGAACACAAGAAGGGCGAGGGGATCGGGTTTCGGCCGCAATCCCGCAATCCGTGCCGCGGCGGCGCGGCAGCACGGCGGCACCCACACGGAGCGGGCGGAGCGCGCGGAGCACCACCACGCCGCCGTCGTCCCGAATGCTTCGCCGTCACGCTCGTCTCGTCCGAGCCCCGCACCCGTCACGTCTGGAACCTGTTGTTCTGTTCGAGTGGCGACGCCCGTCACGGCGGGGTGGGGTGGGGCACGGCGGAGCGGCGAGGGTGCATTGGCTGGCTCGACCGCGCGCCGTTTGGAAAGCCGCCAAGCGAAGGACATAATGTAGAGAATACAAATCAACGCTCACTGGGGCATGGCGGCATGGCGCGCGGCCCGGAGGGGGGGGGGCTCTCGCCCAGCATACTCCGCTTATTTTCGCAGCCCTTTCTGGAACGGCCCCTTCGCCTTGCCGTCTCCAAACAAGGAGCAGAAAAATCAATAAATAATTGGCTGAGCGATAGCGAAGCCCATGCCGTGTTTGGGCGCACCAAAAAGTGACTGGTCGTGAGTCTGTCTGTCCGTCTGTGAGTCTGTAGCGTACACGCTCACGTTTCTCAGCAACTACAACACCAATTTTTCCCCAAAATTTTCGCATTGAACATCCCCAAAGTGTCCCACAGGGGGAGTTTATCTTAGATCAACAATTATCTTTCGTTTGAAATATTCAAAACATCGTTTTGAACTAGGTTATTAGCGTTTTTTTGGGTTTGGTAGCAGTGTGTGGCTTCCCAAATTTCTCATACCGGCTGCCGCGCTTCCAACCCGTCTGCAAGACAGGACGGTACTTATGCAAAAAAAACAAACTGAAGAGAAAAGGGGCTCTCAAATAGGTTCTGAGTTAGTTTTTTAACATTCTAGAATGATTAAAACCCTTCCGGAGTGTCAACAGGGGAAAAATACGAAAACTGAAAGTGAGAATGGTTTGCGTGTTTCGTGCCCCTCCCCCCTCCCTCGTCACAGGGGAATCTTCCTGCAGGTCAGTGCATGTGAGTGTAGTTGTGGACTGAAAATAGAATGTTTTCTTTGCCTGTTACTTTGTGTGTATCTACTGATTTTTTTTCTCTGATACCATCCTTATTTTTAAATTTATTTTTTAAATTTTATAGAAAATCAAAATTTGGTGAATGCATGAATAACTTCTGTTGAAATTAGAAGACAGTTACATGTCTTTGTTTGACTCGGGAAATGACATCCTATTTTTAAAGCTGCAACCTAACATAAATATTTTTGTACTAGCATCTATTGATTAAAAGAATCCACATATGGATGTGTATTTTTTAAAGCTAATAAATTTTGAATTGATATTGGATTCAATGAGACGATTCAGATTGTGAGCGGTGAGTGACTTGGTAATTGGATTTAATGAGACGATTCTTTTCACTTCACCAAAGTTTGTGTCCGATAACTGGAACTTAGTTTGGTAATAGTTTAAATGGGCTCTCCGAACAAAAGCCCAATGCCTAATGTTAATCCTGTACTGTCATCTTTTACTCCAAAGATAAAAATACCACAAGACATGAATAAGATAATGGCGTATTGAGCAAAAAGTGGCCTCTGCATTGGACTTCATGAGACAATTCACTGAATTTGACAAAACTTGGTCTCCGTCTTATGCTTCAGATCAGCCTGCCCTAAACTGATTCACTTAATAAAACCTATGATTACATATTCCAGTCTATATTGTTTAATTCACTGGTTTAAAATGAAAGAATGACAAAAGGCTACTCAAATATAACTAATAAATTAGTAAATTCATTAGTTTTAAGAAACAGATATATCGAGTAGTGACTCAAGCAGACGATTAGCCCAAATTTAAACGATTCAATGGAAAGTTACTCGACTGAGGAAACGCATTGGTTTCGCATTAGGGTGACGACATGGGGTGATCCATGAACCCAGACCCATACTCTATCCGTTATTAATCAATTCAATATCAATATTTTTCAATTGAATCTCACATTAATTCTTGCAGTTTTTTGGGGTGCCAATCATGAAAATCACTTTCATTTCTACTCCAGACTTATAGTTTCATCTCAAATTAGCTCATTTTTTACCAAACTTTTCAGGTCGAGTTTTATATTGTTTCCTGCAGTCTTGGGTGTGCTGAACTCAAAAATGACTTCCAAATTTTTTCCCCGATTCACACTTTACCTAATTTGACCAAATTTTGACCAAAATTTTTTAGTTGAGTTTGATGTTGATCTCAGTAGTTTTTTGTGTCCTGATAACGAAAATCACTTCCATTTCGACTCCAGACTTATATTTTCATCCCAAATTAGGTCATTTTGGACCAAAAATTTTTAAGTCGAGTTTTTTATTGTTTCCTGCAGTTTTTGGGTGCTGAAATCAAAAATGACTTCCAAAATTTTTTCCCCGACTCGCGCTTTACCCAATTTTGACCAAATTTGGACCAAAATTTTTGAATTGAGTTTGGTTGATCTCAGTAGTTTTTTTTGTCCTGATAACGAAAATCAAAATTCCATTTCGACTCCAGACTTTATTTTTATCCCAAATTAGGTCATTTTGGACCAAAATCTTCAAGTCGAGTTTTTTATTGTTTCCTGCAGTTTTTGGTGTGCTGAACTCAAAAATGACTTCCAAATTTTTTCCCCGACTCACGCTTTACCTAATTTTGACCAAATTTGGACCAAAATTTTTGAATCGAGTTTGACGTTGATCCTAACAGCTTTTTTTCGTGCTGAAAACGAAAAAACACTTCCATTTTTACCCGAGACCTACATTTCACTCAGAGCCCATAAGTTGCTCATTTTTTTGTCCAGTTAAGCCCAAAATCCGAAGTGCAGAAACTAATTCGCATCGCTCAGCCACACTACGCGCCCACGTTAAAAGGCGCGTACCCCTAGTTTTCGACAGGGATTTCCGCGAAGGCCCACGCGGTACACCTGTTCTGGACCAACTTCGGCGTGACGTCGTCTTAGAGAGAGAGCGGGAGAGGGAGGGGGGAGAGAGAGGGGGAGAGAGAGGGGGAGAGAGAGAGAGAGAGAGAGAGGAGAGGAGAGAGAGAGAGAGAGAGAGAGAGAGAGAGAGGGCCCAGTGACGTCACAGCTAAGCGCTGTGCGACGGGATGCTGCCGGGGGTTGGGGGTTGGGTCGGGCCACCCTTCAAGCCCCTCGGCCTGCCCCGCCTGCCTCGCCTTCCGAGAACTGCAGCGAGTTGGACGGGAGCCTCCTCACTCCTCTTCGCACACTTTCCCCTTCCCTGCCGCGGGAAAGCAGCGCCTGGATGGGATTGCTCTCTCTCTCTTCTCTCTCTCTCTCTCTCTCTCTCTCTCTCTCTCTCTCTCTTCTCTCTCTCTCTCTCTCTCTCCTCCCGCTCCCTCTCTGGTGGGGCGTGGACCCCCAGTCTCCCCCCTTCCTTCCCCGGAACCACAACCCCACGATACTACTGCTCTGACGTCACGGTTCGTGGTCGTCAAGGGCGACGTCATCCAGGCCACGCGCCAGAGCGCCGTCAAAGGTCTGCTGGCCTGCCTAGTGTAGTGGAGCAGCCGCCAGTAATCACTTCGTGCCGGCTGGCCTGCCAGTCATTTCGGGCGCGACTTGGCGCCAAGCATAGCCCGGAGTGCAATCACTGAGGTTCAATTTCGATTTTTTTGCTCCGAATTCGTCTCCGCCCCGCGGTGTGGTGACCAGGGAGACCCTTGCTCGCATGGGGGCTGCATTTTTTTAATGACCCGCTCACTGCAGTCAATCCCTGTCGCGTCTGGGACCCGGCTTCACTCCGCTAATCCCCCAAGCCCTGGTGGCTGAGAAGGTAAAGGCGTCTGCCTCGGTCAGTGGGGTCCGGGGATCGAATTCCAAAATTTAATTACATTTTTCGACTGGCCTCCTCCCAAACGACTCAAGCCCGTCGTCCAACATTCGGCAGACGTACAAGTCATATACCGTAGTGGTCAGAGTCACATTAGCCTGGCCACTACCGGGGTGCCTAAAAAGCAATCCGCTTCGGCGGGTTGGCCTCGGTAGAAGCGACTGGGTCCTCCGTACTGTGTGCGGAGGTGGGAGAAAAGCTCCCTTTTTTCTTCTTTTTTTCGATTTGTTTTTTATGATATGTTTTGCCATTTCCTCCAGCACCGTCCTGGAAACGGGACCTCCATACAACCTTGGGGTCTTTCGGTCCTGGTTTTGCCAGGGCGCGTTTTTACCGTGCACATGGAGTCTGGCCGGCTCGTGGTGGCGCCGGCGAGGGGGTCTGCCGGCGAGGGGGTCGGCCGGCGAGGGGGTCGGCCGGCGAGGGGTCCGCCGGGCCGAGCCCGCGCCTGTCAACCCTCGGCTCCACTGTAAGACCCCTCTCCGGGAGAGCCTCCCTGGGAGGCGCCTCGCCTTGCGCCTCGCCGCCCCGGTGCCGGCCCAGGGCTCGAGAGACGTGTATTGTACCTCCGCCTTAATTCTCCGCTAACGCGGACATAATGGGGTCGCCCCGTCCGCCCCACAACGACACCGGACGCGACTCTAGCCGCGTTTTCAGCGTCCCCCGCCGCGTTCCTCACATAGGACTCGAAGCAAACGCGTGCATGTACCAGGACTCCGCGTTTCGAAGGGTAATCCATCCATTAGATAAATTACTGTTAATCCAAAAGGCCATCTCATGGTCCATTGGTGCCAGCATGGGATTGATTCAAGTCTCGTTTGAGGAGAAATTGTTGTTGCTGTTTGCTGTCGGCAACACTCACCTTGTCGTTGAGGAGACAGTCTCGTAGGAATGAGTGCCCTCCGCGCCCTGCAAGCAGAGAGGACGGGGCGGGTTAGCGCGTCAGAGCCATACTTCATGTGTCATAAATTAAGTTTATTTTTCGAAGCAATCGTAAATCATGCGTTTGATTCTGATTAAAAGTTTTAAGTGTGAACCGTTCAACATTGTTTCCGTCCCCCACAGTCCAGCCACACCACATCTTAATGCATTTGTAAGTGGACTCTAACGCTAACGACGCTGGCGCGCGCTGGCGCCGAGAGAGACGCCCTCTAACAACAGCGAGATAAGAGAGAGAGAGAGAGAGAGAGAGAGAGAGAGAGAGAGAGAGAGAGAGAGAGAGAGAGAGGGTGCCTCACTTTTCCGCCCACTGTGCCAATGCGATGCCACGCGATGCCTCGCGATGCGATAGTGCACATCACCCTGGTCACCCCTTCCACACGCCCCGCCGCACACAGTGTAGCAGCACAGCCACCGGAAATTACCTCTCCATCGTCATTTTTTTCCCCTCGTCCCACTCCCGCCATTTTATTTCCTTTGGTTCCCGGAAAGGAATCTCATCGCCAGCCATCCGAGCGATCCCGCACACTGCTCCGTCTCGCTCGCTCTCACGGCGCGTCCCGTAGGGGTGCGAAAGAGGCAGAGCGACGAAAACGGAGGGGGTCGATGGGTGGCGTGTGTCGGGCGGCCCGCGGGGCTCGGCGGGGCGACTGTGACCTTGGTGGAGGGATGCAGGAGGGCCAGCGGGGCCAGCGGGGCCAGCGTGCAGTCTAGTTAGCGCAGCCCAGCGTCAGCGTGGCTGCCGATGCTGTGGTCTACTCCACTTCCACTGTCACTGATTCCTATTGTTGGGTTCGGGACAGGGTCAAAGGTTCCGATGGTTTTAAATGAAACGATTCCAAGAGAGCCGTTTCCATACACTAGTTGGATGCAAGACTCCTCTTTCCTCCAAAGCGCACGCCAAGTTCCCATAAGTCGTTAAGACTCGTTTCTTTCCAGTGTACACGTGCTTCGCGTGGGCGCGGCTGGCGGGGCGGCAGCAGTGGGGTAGGCTGCCATTTCATTTCATTTCATCTCGTTGCGAGCGGTGATTGGTAGCAATCAACTACTTACTGTCCTGTCTCCGAATCACCGAACATCCTCCTGACGCCACCCCACTGGCGGTGCTGCCAGCCCCTCCCCTCCACTCCCCTCCCCTCCACTCCCACGCCGACTAGCTGACGTAGTCGTCCCGCCATTCACGAAAGAAAAAAAAACTTGTCGCGGTGTAACTTTGCTCGCCGTGTCGCCGTGTACCGTAGCTAAGTTCCCCCAAACCGCTTTCTGGCGCGGATTTCTTTCTCATTTAGATTTCCATTTTCGCGCCGCCTGCGCCGCGCGCGCTTTTCCCCGTTCGTTGCTGACGCGGGCCGTGGGTGCTGACGCGCTGACGCTGACTGGCCGCGCTCACGAAAAGAACCGATCGGAAGTCGAAAGCAGCCGAAAGGTGGACGGCGCAGTTCCGTTCCTCCACCCACTCCGCCTCCACCTGGAGGACCTGGTCGCGAGGCGAGGCGAGGCGAGGCGGAGCACAGCGAGTCCATTTTTCATCCATCTCGCTTCATCACGCTGCTACATGTCGGACTGAGGCGGCGGGGCGCTCCACGTCCGGGACTACCGTACGTCGGCCACCCCTTCAGCGTGGACTGAAGTTCTTTACGGGGAACAATTTTACACGTGTCACACGATAATAATCATCAGCAGGCCTTTAGCGTTCGAGTAGGAAAATACAACAAATGCGGGACTCAAAATGAAAGTACGCGAGGGGAAAACAATGGCGGCTTTTTATTTTCCCGAGTCACATTATGCCCACGAACAGCTGTTGCGAGAGGAAAACAACCTCTCTCTTCAAATTCGGAGAAAAGTTTAATTTCCTCGTCAGCATTCGCGCGCTCCATCGGCCACACACGCCGCGCCCCGCCCGCCAGCCTGACCGAAGACCCCTTCCCCCTTTTCCTCGTCGTCCGTCCGAAGAGAGACGCGTCTTTCGTTCGATGAATAATTGAAGTGACACAAGTGAAACAAAACGGCTCCAATCACTTCGCCTTTGTCGCCTCGCGTTTGTTTCCCCCCCCCTCCTCTTCCCGGTACCCAACCTCCCCAGCAGCGCCGGGTTTGCTCAGACAAAGCCCCGAGGTCGCGCGGAGGAGGGGGAAAAAGGGGGCGTGGGGGGTCGCACAGGCGTGGCTCTCAGCTGACACACCACGTGGTCTCTCATGGCGCCCGGCCGCGCGCAGGCGCACCGACGCCCCCCTCCGCTCCAACCCTGCACCACCCACCTCCTTGTCAACTCTCTCTCTCTCTCTCTCTCTCTCTCTCTGGCTGGCCCCGCCCCGCCCCGCCCTTCATACTGCTCATTATCCTCGATAATTGCCCGGGTGGTCTCGGATTTCAATCAATGCGTCAGGGCGATGCAGTCAAACACAATCCTCCTCCCTGCCGCCCAAACAACTTCCGGTGAGATGTGCTCCGCGAGTCAACAACCAGGCAAACACGACGAGTGCCGACACCGCCGACAGCGAGTCCAGGAAGGAAGAGGAAGCCACGAGCGCCTATACGCGTACCAGGACGGGGGCGCACCGCCGCGCCTCGTCCCGCCACGCCCCGCCCGCCCCACCACGCCCCACCACGCCCCGCCACGCCCCGCCACGCCCCGCCCGCCCCGCCACGCCCCGCCACGCCGAGTGCGGTGCCCATCAAAGCAAGAGTCTAGAAAAGAAGATTCGAGTGGTTCATCTCCCTGCCGCGGCTCCGCTCTCCGCCATGCCGCTGCTGTGGGCCGCACCGCCTGCCTGGCGGGCTGCCTGCCTGGCGGGCTGGCACGGCGGGCCGCCCCGTGGAGGCCGTATCGGCCTGGAAGGTCGACAGAGGGGTGGCTGGGGGTGGGTCGGGGGGTGGGGGGGGGACCTTCGGTTCGCCGCGCCTCGGCTCAGTCTCGCTCTCGGCTCGGCCCGAAGGTATCCGACGATGGACCTGTCTGCTGTCTCCACGTCCATTGTTCTTTTTATTCCCGAAATAAAATAACCAGGGTGATGATGTCAGCGCGGCGGCCCGGCTGGCGGGTGGGGCTGGCGGCGGAGGCGAAGCGCCCGCCGAACGGCAGGTAGGCAACGCGCTCGACAGCCGTGCCGCCCCTAGCCAGGTTTGCCTACCCTCGCGGCGCTCCGCCGAGCGCACCGCGCTCCATCGCTCTCTCTCTCTTCCTCTCTCTCGCACACACTCGAAGTACTGCTCGGAATCCGTCGGCCTCGCCTCGCGCGTGATTCGCGGAAGCGAGGCGCTCTATGCGAGGAGCTACAACATTCACGGAATCACCCCCGAACTCTCCAACTTGCGAATCCCCGAACCGACTCGCACGGACTCGCAGGATGGCTGCTCTTCACTCCCACAAGCAGGCCCGTAGAGTGGAGAGGGCTTGGAGTAGGCCTCGGAGAGGGCCGCTGGCAGACGGAGGGTGAGGGACCTGAGTAGCAGTGTAGCTGCGTATAGCTGTGCGGCCAAGAGGAGTGTTGCAGTCCTGCGTGCTCACCACAGACGCCACTTTCGACCGGACATCCCTTTTCAGCCCGCAGCCCGCCATTCGGACAGACGGGTGGGCGGACGGACAGACGGACGGACGGACCGGGACAGACAGACAGACAGACAGACAGACAGACAGACAGACAGACAGACAGACAGGCAGGCAGGCAGGCAGGCAGCAGACAGGCAGGCAGGCAGACAGGCAGGCAGGCAGACAGGCAGGCAGGCAGACAGACAGGCAGACAGACAGACAGACAGGCAGGCAGACAGACAGACAGGCAGGCAGACAGACAGGCAGGCAGATGAGCTCCCACTGCGCGTGGGTGGGTGCTCGTTGCGGCAGTGTTTTCGCCCGGCTGAGTGCTGCGGGGCTGTGCGGGTTGGGCCTGTCCGCCCCGCTCTCGTTCTCCTCACCCAGGCCCTGATCCTGCCCGGCCCGCTCGGCCCGCGCGCGGACACGGGAACGCGGCAGGGCGGCAGCACGGCGGCGGGATCATTCCCTATTTACGCCCCGCCCCGCTCGCATTGTGCGGGGCCCGCCATGAATGTGTGAGCAGCGACTCACTCTGGCATTGATCTCGTCAGTGCAACGGAGAGAGAGGGGAAATAAAACAGGGTGTTCCTCCAGACCCGGTGGCCCCGGCGCGTCCCCCATGCGAGATATCCGAGATGCCATCTCCCGGATAGGCCGGCCGGGCGGTGCCGGCCGGGCGACCTACATAGACACTGTGTTGGCGGAGCGGGGGGCTGGCTTGGGGGACAGCAGCGCACCGACGACGACGGAGTTAGGGGGGGGGGGGGGCAGGTACAGCATCGGGCACTTCATTGCGGAGGACACATCATGAGGCTGGCCAGGCCTCCTCCGTCAGACGACGTGCTGGGGGTGGGGGGTGAGAGGGGCGCTAGGTGCAGTAGCGGCGCGCCACGGCACGGCGCTTCCTAAGGCTTCCCGGCCTCACCTCACCCCCTCGGCCCGACGGCTCGACGGCCCGACAACACCCTAGCACCCCGCGCCACACGGCAGGCACGGCGGGCACGGCAGGCACATGGGGGCGGCGGAGCACAGTTGTCGTACGCCCAGCCCTAGCTGGCTAGCTACAAACGAAAGGCCGCTACCGAGAGTCCGCTTCGTCGCTCTGTCTCACTCGCACCCCGAAGCGAGGCCCTCAAGAGCGAGAGAGACACAGCTCCTTTGGAAATCGGTCGACCTCCGAGCGAGGGCGAGGGTAACGCGGCCGTTCGCAAATCACACAGTTGACCTACACTGTACCCACAGCCGGGCGAGGCGGGCGAGGCGGGCGAGGCCACCGCATGAGGGTAGAGGGTAAACCGAGGGTGAGCCGACAGGTCAGAATTTCGTTACAGTGACACAGCGGGGGAGGCGTGATGACTTGATGTTGACTTGCCTGGTCGGCCACCGCAGGCAGACCAACTCGGGGAGCGCCGAAAGGGTTGCCCTAACGGTCTCTCCT